ATGTAGATATAAAGTAACATGTGCGAAAGTACATAACGGAGTTGTTGGGCATGGTAGCATGGCATATTTCAAGTGAGGTTATTGTTATAATTATGATGTACAAATAGTTTTATACAAATCACAATATGTAAGTATTATAAGTATTGTTATTGATTTGCAATGATGTACAGAAAATACCGAGAGTGGTGTAGAGAATTTGTCACTTTCTTCAAGAACAGAGATTTTTGGGATAATTATCCCTGGGGAAGATATTTTTCATGTCTCCGCAAACATAATGTGAAATGTAACCAGCAATTGAAGAAATTTGAGAAGAAAATTCTGGAAATAATTTATCTTTGTTGCCTGATAGTAGTTAAGTATATCTCTTTATTAACATGTTAAAACATGGTTTGATTTTATGAAATTCTTCAAAGGCATTTAGAAGTTGGTGTAGTAATACAGGGCAAATCTTATGGATAACAATTTCTTGATGTATTTTTTAAACGTTCTTCAGAAACGTTGTGAAAAATAAATCAAGAAGTTGTTATCCATAAGATTTGCCCTGCAAGGTTTGATTTTCTTTTACTGCATTCATAGATATTTTGCTTGGCAAGAATACTGATCGCATTCAATGGATTGTTATGTTTCCCTTCAAATCCAAGAATATTTTTTTTCATTTGTGAAACCAATTCTTCCTGCAGTTACAGTGTTTAACCAATCCGACAAGTAACTTCATAATCTTTTTGTATATTCACATTCACATAAGAGATGAATAACTGTTTCAGATTCAGATTCACAGAATTTACACAATCTTGCGTCTACATAGCAACTATTCTGTAAATTTGTATTTGTAAAAGGTTGTGTTTGTAAAAGGTTGACAAAAGGTTGTGTTTGTTATGTACAAGGTTGAACTGAAACCACTTCAAGTTAACACTCTGTGTGCATTTTTGGGTTGTGTTTGAGTTTCAATGAAATTATTAATGGATGAGCGCAAGCCCTGATATTTAAAGAAATATATTGTCATATCATATTTGTCTTGAAATTCAGCAAAATTATAGAGTCTGTCAACATTCATAAAATCATATATTAAACTGATTCCTCTTTCAAATAATTCTAAATAAAATACAGGTTTTCAACCATTTTTATGTTGTCATTCCACCAGACGGATTGACAGAGTACCTCAGAAAACATTCAATATTTCCATAGTGTTTACCTAAAACATTGGGCCATCCCTGTAGTAAATCCCTCCAGAAAGTATTTCAAACAGTTGGAATGACATTCGTTTTATGTAAACCGGGTCTGCCAAACTACTAATATCTGATATATCTCTCATGAAATATATTTAAAGTTTAATGGATTTTGCATTATTTTCTTATCCAATTCAATTTCTGTGCAAGGATTGTGTCTTTTCTGTCTGGTACCCCAGTTCCTCCAAATTTAGCAGGATTTCTTTATCACTATACTTCTCTTTACGTTATAGTTTTTTTCCATTCCATATAAAGTTGTAACATTTCTTTTGGAATCCGTCAATGATTTTAAACGGAGGTTTTGGTACAATATTATTAAGTGATTTAGTTTAGGAAGTAGTAAAGATTTTAAGATTGTTTAGGTTTTGCATATTTCCCAGATCTATATCAAAGTCAATTCGTAAAATTCTGGTTCCAATCTAAATTCATATCTTTGCATAGTTTGTTATTCGAGACATCTTTTAAAACAATCCAGGTCAATTTTGTCTTTTCGGTATTGACTTTTAGTCCTGAAAATCTTGCAAAAGAAATTAAAATGTTGAAAACAGCATGTAATCCTCATTCTGATCCATTTAATGTAAGAGTTTTGTCATCTGCAAATTGTTCTAAAATATGTTCTATATTGCCCACAGTAACACCTTTTTTTTTTTTTTATCTTTTCTTATATGTAATGCTAGGACTTCTCTAAACACTCACTCATGATAATGGATCTTGATATGGGGAAAATGGAGCTCATATAGCCATTAACTAAGACACTGGATTCTATACCCTCAAAAGATTAGTGTGATCCATTTTTGAATACTCTGGCCAAAATTGAAAAACCTGAGGACATTTTACATAAATTGACTATCCACTGGATCAAAGTTTTTTCAAATTCAATTAATAGATGTAAGCCAGGTTATTTCCCCTATGTATCTTCCTTCAACAAAACCTTTTGGTCCGCGTGGATAATTTGTGGTAAAATCTGTTTAATTCGGATTGCAATTACTGCTTAAGCTAGTTTGTAGGATGTGTTTAAAAGAGATATAGGTCTCCATTTTTTAGAATTATTTAGCTATTTTCCCAGGGTAAGTATGTTATATTACCATTTTTAGTATTTGAGATCAGAAAGAATTCTTTCACATTCTTCACTAGTTTATAGCTTTTCGTAATAATGTTTTGTCTCCTCTAGAATTTCATTTGGGCCTTTCAATATTTTCCCATCGCTTCTATGTAATTCTTTAAAGGATTTGTTTAAAAACTTTCCATGTTCTAAGTGTAGAAAATATGTGTCATTGGTTTTTCCCCATGCTCTATCCATTTCGCTTTAGATCTGATAAAAGAGCCTCGAGTTAATTGGTTTTCTGTTTCTTCCAAATCCACTTTAGCTATATTGATATTTTCTAATAAAGTTTGGTAGTGGAGGTGTCATGATGTGGGGAGCTATATCCTTCACGCAGAAATGTAACTTTGTCCTCCCTTCTGGGCAATTTAACTGTAATTGACCAGCAGACGAAGTTGTTCCAGTCCGATAATGCCAGGCCTCACACAGAACATGTCACTATTTGGTATCTTCAGAATGAGAACATTACATTGCTTCAATGGCCTCCCTAATCGTTCTCAACCCTATCGATCATTTGTGGGATGACCTCAGCCGACGCGTACGTGAACGTCAACGTGCGACGTTAAATCAACTGTCGCAGGGATTGCATCCAGTTGAATGGACGTATTTAGTCCGTGCCGAAACAGCGCAGAGCAGGCTTTTGGGCTCATGGTGGCCTCATTTATATTGAGGGCAACTATACATGTTAACGGACATTAGATCTTACATACTGTGAACTTTGGCTCCAACCGATCCTGAATGACATGTGTTATCTCACTTTACAGTTAGCAGATTAAATTCGTGAAAATACACCTATGCGTTTCTCTCTTTGTTTTTCATCATGAGGATGACAGAAGTGCTCACCAATTTCTAATGTCGTTGCTGAATTTCAGTGATCCACCTCTTTGGCACCTGATAACTTTCCGGTGTTGTTGTGTAATATCTGAATAGAGTACCTGTTACTGGACACACTCTTCATATAGAGCAATGGAGCAGTAACTTGCATAAAATCCTTGCTTTAGTTTTGATATATTTTATTCAAATTGCAGGTGACTGTATACAGGCCTAGTTGGTTCATATATGCTCAGTTGAATGCAGGTCATGCAGGAAGAATACAAGACATATAGATTGACACACACACGTGACAATAAATCTGGTACTTTGGGAATATTCTCCACGGAAACACGGAAATATTCTAACCGGAGGTTTTATTGTGAGTTACATTGTGTACGTGCTGCTCTAACACCTCAGATATCGTACCCAACTCTTCACGATTCATTCGATGCTGACAGGTTAATGCCATGCCCAGAATTGTCGAAAGAGCCCGACATCATGCACACGTCTAGTCAATGTGTTAGTGCTGATACGATGTCCAACGCTGTTGACGACGTCACTGTGAGCATCTGGTTGCGAAGATGGAGAATGCTCTTGTGTTGATGGTCTACATTGTACAGCCGAACCTTCTGGCAGGTTGCTTGTTCCAAGCTCCCATCGCCGACATTCCAATGGCTCATTCTCGCTCCGCTACTGATAATGTTAGCACTTTCACAATGTGTGTCTTTAACAGAGATATCACTAACAGTGTCAGTTGACCGTATTTTATACTGGTGCTCGTGCGATTCTACAAAAGTGTAGTTTTCATGATAAATGACAAACTATTTACGTTGTGTTTTGGGAAAGGGACGTCTGTGTTACCAGCACTACAGTCAACATATGGGACTATAGCATGTATTATCCGATGAATTCATGGACAAACATACCTATAAGATATCTTGTGGCTAATTTCCCGTTACTTGTTTCATATCCCTTCGTGTAAGATGTGAGTTGGGGATTAGCATTTGAAACATGTCTTTCAACAATGTGACTACAAAGATTACTACATTTAATTCGGAAACCACTGTGGGCAAGTGACAGTAAAAATCTCTACGATTTTCAAATGTTCCAAAGCTCCACTATTATTATTTCTATTCTTACATTCATCTGGTACTAGATTCCAAAGGCGAGTAGCAACTGGAAGAATGGACATAATGCGAAACATGGTCTTGAAAAGATGTTGTAATGATGATGTATGTCTATATTATATGGAATTAACTCTCAGAGACATTCCGAAGCAATGATAACATCATTATATAATATACACACAGTGGCTTGTTTTATCCCATTTTCTTGAGAGGTGTTTTACCGGTTTCGTTATGTAACTCTCTGCAGCTACAGCTACTTCTGTGTATATGTGTATCAACAAGAGCCGACAGAATGTGTATCAGTGCAGAAATCAGTGTGTCTCTATGACCCTATGCAAGTTGTCCAGCCACGTACCTATTTACGCTTTTGTCAGTATGGGTATGTGTTTCGGAGTAGTCATCAATACTTGCGATACACCAACACATGCTACTGATCACATCAGAGAAGAACTATAAACTTCCATGCTAATATATGTCCAGAAGGCCTAAACGTAAGACATATACGACCACTCGTCACCTACTGTTGTCTTAACCATATGCTTGTAGTGTCCGATTACACATGAATGACAGGGACCATGCCCGCACCTTAGTGTCCAAGGGACAACAGAAAGACGATTGCATAAAGTCTGGTGTTGCTGGGTGACCAGTGACAAGAGGTAGACGATTACATAGAGCATGATGTTGCTGGGTGGGCGGTGACAAAATGTAGACGATTGCTCAGAGTCCGGTATTGCTGGGTGGCCGGCGATAACAGGCAGACGATTCCATAGAGTATGGTGGTGCTGGGTGGCCGGTGATAACAGGTAGACAAGCACTCAATGGATAGCTTTACTGAAGGGCACAGGAGAGCCAGCCAAAGTCTTCAAGTACATTCTCCCCTGAAAATTAGATTGAAATTAGATTTAACAATTGCATAATTACAAAACAACATTGCATACTTTCGTGTGCATAAATTATTGAAACTGTCTTCCTTTGTGGATTGATCGAGATTAATCAACACAGTAAACATAGTTCACGACAGCTACTCAGAAGTAGACATCACTAGTAGAATGATTGTCATTGTCGTAAGTTAAACCAGTTTGTCATACCTAAGCTGGTCTTTATGGCAGTATTGTTATCTTGGCCACTCTGTATGCGCGAAAAAAGGCAAGTACCGGAAGGCAAAAGAACATTATATCGGTATCACGTGTGTATTTGTATTTGTCACCAATCTGACCTATGACCTCCATGATCTGTAACATTACATATTACATCCATGAACTGTACCCACCATAACCTGTAACAACATTGCCTGTTTCCTCCACGAACTATAATCACCATGTCCTGCTTCAAATATAGCATGTAACTTACATGAGTTACACCTAACATGACTTGTAACTTCAATGACCTGTGACCACCCTGACCTGTATCAACGATGACATGGAACTGCAATGACCTGTAACCTGCATGCATTGAAACTTCCATGAACTGTAACCTCAATGGCATGTAACTTCAATGATATGTAACCTTCAAGACCTGTAACCTATATTCACGGCGGGGTACACCAGAAATGGGCTTCACACATTGTACCCATGCGGGGAGTAAAACCCGGGTCATCGTCGTGACGAACGAACACTTCCTCTGAGAAAGCCTACTGCCCCTCCATGAACTGTAACTGCAATTATCATGAACTGTAATCACCATGAATTGTAAACACATGAAATGTACTCACCATGATCAAAAACCAGATGAGCTATGAATTATTACTACCATGGCCTATACTCTCTACAGGGGCAGTGGAGAAGCCTTGTGGATAAAGTTCGCTTGAACTGTAACTACTACGGACTGAAGCCACCAGTATCTGGAACCTCTAAGAACCGTAACCATCTTGAACTGAACCTGCCACACTGAACCATGCTGACGTGGATGTAACACACAAACAGAAACAACTGTGCCCTGCCTAGACCTCTTCCCGCCCATCACCCATCTGCCAGTCTTACAGTTTACCGTTATGTACTGGTTTTCTAGTTGCAAGTGCAAAATCAAGGAACAGATAGATTGTGTAAAGGTTGGGAAATAGTAGATGGGATAGAAGTCGGGAACTGGTATATGGCGTAAAAGTAAAAAACTAGTAGATGGGGTAGAAGTCAAGAACTCGTTGATGGGGTAAAGGTCGGGAACAGGTAGATGGGGTAAAAGTCAAGAACTGGTAGATGTGGTTGAAGTCAAGAACTCGTTGATGGGGTAAAGGTCTGGAACAGGTAGATATGGTAGAAGCCGGGAACTGGTAGATAGGGTAAAAGTCAAGACTACTAGATGGGGTAGAAGTCAAGAACTCGTTGATGGGGTAGAAGTCAAGAACTCTTTGATGGGGTAAAGGTCGGGAACAGGTAGATATGGTAGAATTCGGGAACTGGTAGATGGGGTAAAAGTCAAGAACTCTTTGATGGGGTAAAGGTCGGGAACAGGTAGATATGGTAGAAGTCGGGAACTGGTAGATGGGGTAAAAGTCAAGAACTACTAGATGGGGTAGAAGTCAAGACCTCGTTGATGGGGTAGAAGTCAAGAACTCTTTGATTGGGTAAAGGTCGGGAACAGGTAGATATGGTAGAATTCGGGAACTGGTAGATGGGGTAAAAGTCAAGAACTACTAGATGGGGTAGAAATCAAGAACTTGTTGATGGTGTTAAGGTCGGGAACAGGTAGATATGGTAGAAGTCGGGAACTGGTAGATGGGGTAAAAGTCAAAAACTGGTAGATGTGGTAGAAGTCAAGAACTCGTTGATCGGGTAAAGGTCTGGAACAGGTAGATATGGTAGAAGTCGGGAACTGGTAGATTGGGTAAAAGTCAAGAACTACTAGATGGGGTAGAAGTCAAGACCTCGTTGATGGGGTAGAAGTCAAGATCTCGTTAATTGGGGTAACCACATGAATTGGACTCCCTAACCAAGAACAATGAGAAGCCTGACGACAGTGCACTTGGAATGAATGCGAGACATTTCAAATGCGAGGTCCGCATATTTAGCATGCATTCCGTGAATCTTGCCAATCACAATGCTGTCAAAAGGGATAGAAAATTCAATAACATAAATATATTCATTTGCTTTATGAAAAGAACAAGATCAGGTTTCTTTCAAGGCAGGAATTCTTCTGTGACTGTATATGGGCCTATTCCAAAGAGGTTTAAGAGCATCATTTTCCATGACGCCCTGGACATGTTCAGGGTCGTACCATAGATGGACCTCGGAGTTAAAACCACAGGCATCGCAAAGACTGTGGTAGAAGCATGCCATCATGTGTTTCAAGATGTACTGTTTGTGCCAAGGAAGGGCATCCACTGGCAAAGTGTTGATAGTCTCTGTAAATTCATTGCAAAGTCGACATTTCATATTTATATTTTTATTTAAGAATCACATTTTGGTGATTGCGAGTGGGATGTGACTGATCCTGGGCAGCAAAAAGAAAGCCCTCAGTTTCACCTTTAAGAACAACCGACTTTATCCAGGCGAACGAGTCGCTTGGATTACTGTTCTGTTCCACACACTGCATGGAAACACGATGTAATGGTTTCTCAGAAAGTTTCTCCGCAAATGCAAAAAACCTGGGGAGACTTGGTGAAGGACTTCACCTGGTTTACTCCCATCGCTGTACCGTCCAGCAGTACATCACCATCAGCAAAATCAACCGCAAATTTCAGATTCTTTCCAACAGCCTTGGCACGCTTAAAAAGGTGTGGAATTCCTTGCTTTTATCATGAGTTTTGACATGCATCACCAGAGGATCATCCGATAAATGAATCTGTGCAAAAGTACATTAATTTATAAAATTCTATAATGAAGGACCTCCACATTAATCAAACCCCGACCTTCAGAATTGATTGACAAAATTTTATAATGATTAAGGGAGGAACGAGGGTGGTGTGCTCTGTTATCAGACATGATTCTTCTGGTCAGGCGGTCAAGACTCTGGATATCTTGTTTTGTCCATCGACTAGTCCAACGGAATAGGAAAGGACTGGCAGAGCAAAACTTGAAACTTGTCTCGAACTTGCATTCCAAGATAGGTGTAGGCCTGATCTTCCACAAGATGCTCAATAACTCCTCCCCGTTGTAACTTGACTGATCCATCATTAATTACCTTGCCACGTTCCAAATGAAGAATATTACATTTGTTGAGTCCAAATGTAATACTAATATCATTAGAAAAGGACCGGAGAGAAGGAGAACTGCTCTTTCAAATTGTTAGCTCCTTTGGCAAGGAACTCGATTTAATCCATGTAAAGGAGATGAGTAAGCGGTGTTGGAGATCTGTGCTGAGGGGGGTCCAGGGTGATCCCTAATCAGCAGAAAGGTTTTACAGACAAGCAAAGGATGCAAAGGAATCTCGCTAGAATATTCCCCTTCTGATTGGAATAGATTCCAAAGTCTGTACCTGCCATTGCGAGTACATCTCAAGTTGAGTCGACCAGCAACCCATTAAAGACAAGTAAGAGTCGTATGGGTTATTTGTATTCAATGCAGCACTTGGAGAGGATGCGGTGATATGTTTTAGCCTCCTCCAAAATCATTTTTGTACAAGAAGTTGATACTTGCACCCCAAACATCCCTTTCTTGCCTCCTTCTGCTCTCTGTAAATTATATCATTGGAAGAGCAGTAAGTTGACAAGAGGTTTGTCAAACACCCTGTGAATATATTATATTGTGTATTCAAACATGTGATATGGCGGAAGTTTTTGGGGTCAGTCAAATCTCCTTTTGGGGGGAAGGAGTATTATGCGACCTTTGCAGAACCATGGAGGAACATCACCTGTGTCTATGAGAGAACTAAAAGAGTGAAGTATTGGTGCTTGGGCACAGTTTCCAATACCGGTTTCGAATACCATCAGGCCCAGGAGCTGTATTAGATATGGACTTTTGGATAACCCTTTCCAGACAATCTGGTGAGATGTAACAGAAAAATGACCTAGTTATTTTCTAATGCATTGCATGCTCGTAATCATGGACCTATGGTGCCTCAAGGTAACAGTCGCCGGGTACAGACCACAACTGTTTCCAGAAACTTTCATTGGCGCCCATGGTAGGCCGTTTATCATGTTCGCCACCACCCTTTGTTTTGAGTTGCCTGTAAAAATGCTTCTCATTTTCTAAAGAATTTATTTTGTTTGATAAATTTGCTCTTCTTTTCCCATTGTTTCTTTCTTTGAGTCCAAACCTTTAATTTTGCCTTAAGCAAATCAACAATTTGATGATGTGCCTTTTCTTTTGTTGTCTTATATTAGTAGTATAGAACGGGTCCGCACATAATGCGACTGGGGCATCAGAGGGGTTAGTGGGGTCATTTAGATCAGGTGGATCAGGGAGATTACTATGCACGAGGACTGATTAATATGGAAATGTATGCATGACGTCACAGGTCAGAAAGATAAATGAACCATTGTTTCATCGAGTGCGCTCATGCTATTTTGCATAATATAAATGAAAAACAAAGCACGGTTGATATGATGTGCACAGTGATGAGGTAATCATGTCACCCTGAATTATATATAACGCTGAATGCAGCCGGATTTAAAAAAGCCGGCGCTTGCCATATCGTGCGACCTATTTTCTCCAGCTTTCTATTGAAAAATGGATACAGGGTGTTACTTGAAAGTTCATAATCGCACAGTGTTGACTAAAGGCTGCTGTATAGGTTACACATGACTTATCGCAGTTCACAGATACGTTAATATTTCCTGGAGTCGGAATGTACAGGGAATGGATAAATACAGCAGTTACACAAATAACAGTATGAAGAGATATGGTCAGGTATGCAATTACCTACTGAGTCTTGCTTAAACAGTTTGGTTAATACCGTAATTGAATAGTGGTCTCACCTAGCCGATTCATTCAAGTCGTAACA